AATTGTTTTTACAAGTGAATGCTGTTTTCGGTATGCTGTGTTTAAGTTTATATCCTGCTACTTTACTGAATATATGTATTGTTTTAGTTAGTAGGGACATGAAATAGTTTTCCTCCGTTTCCTATTTCTATGCTTCTATTTAATTTCTTTTGTCTAACACCTTGGCTCATGCCTTTAGTGGAATGTTCAGTGGCATGGAGAGAGTAGTCATCCTTGTTTTGCTCCTATTCATATAGGAAACAACTTTAGTTTTTCCCTATTAATTAATTAACATGCTGACTTTAGGACTAAGGCCTATATCATGTTAAGAAAGTGTCCATCAATTCCTGTTTTCTTGAGTGTTTTTTACAGATATGGGTATTCAGTTTTTGTCAGAAGCATTTTCAGAGTTGGAAATAATCATATAATTTTTCTCTCCAAATATATTAATATGGAAATTTTTGTTAATGAAGTCCTTTATAGTGAACCAGCCTTGCATTACTAGAACAAATCTGACTTGTTCATTGCATGTCATTCTCTCAATATGGTAGTGGATTTTTTTTACTAATATTTTATTTACAACTTTGTCATTATTTATAAGTGATACTCTAAAAATCTCTAACGATTCTTTTTGTACTGTCTTTATCAAGCTTAGCTATCAGTGTTATGTTAATGTTACATAATGCTAATGACATTTTGACATTTTCCTTTACTTTCAATGTTCAGCAACTATTTTAGAGCATTGGATTATCCATTCTTTGAGTTTTTGGTAGAAATTTTCTTGAGTGCTTTACCTGTGGGGTAGATGCCTAACTTTTTTCGCAAAGGCAGTTGTTCACTTTTTGAGTGGTTTTTTTTTTTTTTAGCTCTAATCAGAACAACTTATATAAGCTGTATTTCTGTGGAAAATTGCTTATTTTATCTAGATTTTTCAAATTTACTTAGAAGTCTACAGAAGAGTTTTATTACTAAAAAATTATTTTGTTTTAATTATTTTCCCCTTGTCATTTAATTTGTGTATTTGTACTTGCCCTTTTTTATTTTTAATTAATTAAGTACTATTTTTATTCTTTTTAGAAATTCAGGATTTTTTTTTAGAAATTAGATAGATTAATTAGATTTACTTTTCTTCTTAATCTACTTCTATCTGCATTATCTTTGTTTTCTTTATTGTGCTTTTTAAATTTTCTTTACTGTTTCTTTTTGGTTTATGACCTGGGAATTTAATTCATTGATTTTTAAAAAATGGATTGAAGTGTTCAAGACTATAGATTTTTTCCTAGTCATTGCTTTATTTGTATCCCATTATTATATATAATGTTTTAATTATAGTTATTTCTTAGAAATTCTGTCATATGTTGATAGTGGGACATTTAAATTATATTATGGTTGGGTGGTAATGGAGCAGGTGAAAAGATTCCTGGATAAGCTTGTTTTGAATGTTGACAAATGATAATTTCAGTGGCAACTTCCATTTACTGAATATTTACTGTGTACCTATCTGGTACAATGAAGTGATTATATACATCATCTGAGTTAAGCTGTATAGCTTTGTTCTGAGCTACACATTATTTCCCCATTTTCAGAAGAAGAAACAATGGCTTAGAGGGGTTTATGTAATTTGCCCAAGTCTGCATAACGAGTAAATTGTTATTGTTTAAATTTGAATCCATCTTTGACTCCACACCTATGACTTTTACTTAGGCAGTATATTGTGAGGTCACAGAGGTATTGAACTCTATGGCATAATTAGAACTGCTAGTAGCACAGGGTGACTGGAGTGAGGTTGGCACTTAATGGTATCATTTCTGGCTTGGCAAATAGTTCTTTGAGGTACTATTAACTAAGATGGAAAACATGAAGCAGAGCAACTTTATGTAAGATAATGGGTAAGTTTGACATACCTGCTAGACAGCTTAAATGGAACTGTCTGGTAGTTAGTTGAGTATATGGATCTGGAGGTCTGCACGTGGTTGGTGCTCAGAGATGTGAATTTAGGTGTCATTAGCTTACAGGTCATAATCTAAATAATGGATTTTCAAAGTGGTAATAATGTGGATATTGGGAAGTGGACATTGGGAACAATGAAACTTAAGATTGAGTGGAGAAAGAATCTGAAAAGAAAGCAAGGACAAAATAGTCAAACTATTAGGAGGAAATCTAGGAGATAATGGTATTACAAGTGCCAAAGGAGGAGGTTCAGGAAGAAGGAGGGGCACTAGTAGCGAGTGCTCCTGAGAACTAAAGAAAGAATGAGCATGTAAGATGTGTTCATTTGATTAATAGTAACGGAAAGGAAAATTATTATCTTAAATGATGGGTCCAGTGGAGTGATAAGGGGTAGGAGAGGAAGAAAAAAAATGGAAACAAATCATTTGGAGACAAGAAATTTTGTTATAAAGGGAAAGTGTGATAGGGTGGCAGTAGCTGGTGGAAATATGAGGTTGCGTTCACAAGTGTGAGGTCCCCTTTTCCTACTTTCCTCCCTCAACCTCTCCCTTCCTCTTTCCTTATGTATCGCTTTCCTTTCTTTCCTCCTACATCCCCTCCCTTCCATTATTCTACCTACTTTTCCTTCTAATGTACTTGACCATTTAATGTTGTAGGATGAGAATTTAACTTGGGACAATATGATGTCTTCGATTATGGTTATAAATATGAGTGATATATAAAGAGATTTAAAAATGTTCAGGTATTAGATCAGAATGATATTTTAAAAAGGATATTTATTTATTAGAGAGAGAGCGTGCGAGAGAGAGCATACAAGCAAGGAGAGGGGCAGAGGGAAAGGGAGAAGCATTCCCGCTGAGCAGGGAGCCTGCCGTGGGGCTGGATCCCAGCACTCTGGGACCATGACCTGAGCCAAAGGCAGATGCTCAACTGACTGAGCCACCCAGGCACCCCAGATCAGAATGATATTTTTAAGAGTTTCTTGAACCCAGAATCATAGTCACACATACCCTTTATGCCCAGAAATAAACATAATTGTCCAACAAATTTTAATGATCTTTGAAGTAATAATGGAAATGATATCAGCACAGTGCTAAATGTTTTACATATTGTAGTCAATTTAAGTCTCATCAGCAACTCTATGCCAATTTTACAGGCAAGGAAACTAAGGGAAGTTAAACTTGCCAATTGTTTTACACCTGGTATGACAATATGGGTCTAGAGTCTATGCTGTTAATTACAAGGCTGTATTCCCTCTTACTGTATAATAGTACTTATTTTCATGCCTTTAAAAGTTCATTAGGAATATTTTTATTATACATTATAATTCAGAATTAGAAGTAGACTATTTTGACATTTTAAAGAAATTATGTTAGCATACAGAATAGTGAAGATTAGAAAAAAATAATTTCTGGGAAAGAAATATCAAGTACAAACATGAACTGAAATTCCAGTTTTCGGTATTTTAGTTAAAATAGCGAAATGCCTGTGGAACAAAGTAGAATACCTTATCCAGTATGGCACATAGTATCTTAAAAACTCGGTATTGTAACATACTAATAGTGTCTGTAAGATAATTGAAGGATCCCATAGGGTGCCAATCAGAAATTGATATATTCCTTAGTTTTTAAATACCTAATGACCTTATAAATGTCTTTCTTTAGGGAAAAATGCAATTTCCATTGTGAGCTGCCTTCCAGAATTTATGGTAGAACTTCGCTGACGTTGCTACTGATGCCAATGTGGAATAAAGGTCTTTATAATTTAGAAAGCCAAAACATAGAAATAGATTACTGCTAAAAATGATTTACTCTTCTTAAACTTTAAAACACATAATTCAAACATACTTGAATTTTTAGAAAGAAATTTGAGAATATAGTAATAATATGTATAATCTTTTTATTTTGCCCTTATGGATATTTTTGTCTTATTTTATCTTGGCAGTCAGCTTTGTTTTCATGACCTTTGTATTTGAACCTAGTCACAATCTAATAATAATTTGTTGTCTAATTATAGGATTTTTTTTTCTTTTTTAGATTTTATTTATTTATTTGACAGAGAGAGACCGTGAGAGCAGGAACACAAGCAGGGGGAGTGGGAGAGGGAGAAGCAGGCTTCCTGCAGAGCAGGGAGCCCGATGCGGGACTCGATCCCAGGACTCTGGGATCATGACCTGAGCCGAAGGCAGACGCTTAACGACTGAGCCACCCAGGCGCCCTAATTATAGGATTCTATTTCAACATTACTTTTTTATAGAAACAATTCAGCAAACTAAAATTGATCTTAACATGAAAATTCTTTTGCTTGTTACAAAAGAAGTTAACACAGAGGCAGTTGGATTAGCTATTTTATTTTTTTAAAGATTTTATTTATTTATTTGAGAGAGAGGGAGCATGTGCGGTGGGGGCATAGGGGCAGAGGGAGAGGGAAAGAGAGACTCTCAAGCAGACTTCCTGTGGATCATTGAACTGGATGTGGCGCTTGATCTCATGACCCTCAGATCATGATCTTAGCTGAAATCAAGAGTCAGACGCTTAACCGACTGAGCCACCCAGGCGCCCTGGATTAGCTATTAAAGTAGTTATTCTTCCTCTTAACTCAATTTATTGTAATACATATTTCATTGATTTGACTTGCCTCTGGGTCATAAGGTCATTGAGTACGTGAACACATCTGTCTTGTTCACTGTCTCTTCTCCATGCTTAGTGCCTGTGGCTGGCATTAGTAGGCACGCTAATGCTTTTTCTTAACTGAATAAATGGATAATATATTTGAATGCTTTCTGTCAGTTGGAAATGCACTACTTATGGTAATGTGTTATGTAAACACTAAGACATTAGTAAACTGTTTTGTTGTCTGGGTCTCATGTGGAAATGTCATGATAAATTTAGAAATACTAGTTTAGATTTTAGATAATGGTCCCCGAGGAATAGTCACAGAATCTTCATTTTGTTTCATTGCTTTTACTTCCCTTACCCTTTTCTCTTCCCTTCCCTCTACTCTCTTTCTTCCTTTCAACCTATTCTTGACTTTCTCTTGGATAATCCTTCATTTATTTATTTTTTCTTTAGTATCTGGAGTCCATCTTTCTCCAGCTTCTCCTGAGATTATACTGGACCATGACCATGCTACTTCAGTTGGCTGCCTCTCTTCTGAGCCCATCATTTCATCACCAGAAAATACACGCACAGACAACAGCATTGTCAGTCAAACTGTTCCTAAAGCACAGGTAAAGACAAATGTATTTTTATAAGAAGTTTACATGCTTAAAAAATTAGAGGTTTAAATGAAGCTTTTCGGATTGATTTTTTTTTTTTTACTTATTTTTATGAAAAGTATTTTTGTAGATAGTTTAACTTTGAGGCTAATATCTAGAATTCAAAAAACTGAATAATATGTTTGTTTTGTGGCATAATTGCAAAGTTTTTAAGTAGCCATAGTTACCAAAATACGGTTTAAGTGTATAATTTATTAAAATTGTCTTAGCTTTCCATTTCAAATCTTCAAAACTTCAAAAGAAAAAATAATTACAGAAAATAATTAGTTCTCTTTTCAGGGAAGCTTAAACTGTTTTTTTAGGTATTAGAGTGTTCATTTCAATTTTAGAGTAAAAACCAAAAAGATTAGCAGTCATTGGGTTTATTCATTCATATATTTATTGATCCAGGCATTGGGCTAGATGCTGCAATTAGTCCAGATTTCCAAAGTACAGTACACAATTTTGAGTCACCTGTTATCTTTACTAGAGAGTGATTGATGATCAATTAGTGGTTATTAATAAATTTCAAATTCTGATTTACAATTTAAAAAATACACAAATTCTGGATGTTTGTATAAATTTAAGAACTGGTGAATATCAGATGTGTCTATAGTTAATTATATGCTTTCAAGCATAAGAAAATGTTTTAAGTTTTTTAGTGCTTTGCTTGCAAAATAATAAATGCTTTAGACTCTAAAGTTTAGAGGGAATTTTGTTTCTTAGCTGCAAAAATCAGGTTGTTGTAACAATTTGAGGTCTTCTGTTGATTTACTTAAAGGGTGAAATAATTTCAGAACCTTTGCTACAACTTAATTTCCAAATGTGGTTTCTGGGGCCCTTTGGATGTTTTCATTATTGGTACAGTGTAAACTTTCCCCTCTTGTGTATTTTTTTTTTTTTTAATGTGGTTTAGATTCAGCAATCAACACACACTCATCTGGATATCTCACTTTTTCCATTGGGTTTAAATGATGAGAAAAGTAATGGAACAATTGCTCTTGTGGATGATTCTGAGGATCCTGGAGCCAATGTATCAAACATACAGCTTCAGCAGAAAATTTCAAGTCTGGAGATTAAACTCAAAGTTTCTGAAGAAGAAAAACAGAGAATTAAAAAGGTATATTTACATTTGCCTAAAAAAATAAATGTTTGAATTGCATAGACTCAAAATTTGATATAATCCTAATCTCTGATTAAACACTCATGAGTGGAAGAAGATGCTGTCTTCCCTTGGCTATAGATTTAAATTAGTTTTGTGAATTTATCACTTAGAAAAGTCTTTGGTAAGCAATGGCTAGTCTTAGATACTTACTTTTAAAGATGAACATCTCCTACCAAATTTTTTCCTCTAATGCTTTTCTTCTGATTTATTTTTATTTACTTTGAAAACAGGTAGTGTTGTATTTCTTATACTGTAACATTGACTTGTCCCTATGGGAAGTTAGGCAGCATGGGATATTTGACGAGAGTACTTAGATATACAGCTGTTTTGGTAAATTATTTATTTATGTTCTCATTTCTCTTTCCTATAAATATATCTATAAAAGGCCTTTGCAAATTTATAGAAAGTATATGTAGATATGTAGAGATAGTTTGTGCTGATTTCAGTTAGTTTAGATGCTATTCATTTATTAGTGTGAATAATTTTAGTGTTATATCAATGTTAATATAGGTCTGGAAATGAGAGTGGGCCATACAATCTGTAATAATGTTGAGCTTTAAACCATATTTCCTGTAAGTGCTTTCCTTACCAAATATTTTCTGGTGTGTTCATTGAAAAAATTGAATATATTTTATGCCATCAAATATTACAAAATTTATGCTTGGATTTTTCTTTTAGGATGTGGAATCATTGATGGAAAAGCATAGTGTCTTAGAAAAAGATTTCCTTAAAGAAAAAGAGCAAGAGGCCGTTTCTTTTCAAGATAGATACAGAGAACTTCAGGTAAGCCCTGTGAATTTAAAATTTAATATGCAGGCCTTTTGCAGAAGCATGTACTATAATTTCAAAAAGTGTTTAATAAATACTTAATGAAGGATCAGATGCTTGGTTCAGTATGTAAAATGTTGACCAAAAATGGATGAAATTAATGATAAATGCCATTTTGAAAAGTATGTATTTGTGAGAAGTAATGAGGGTTACTTGAGACTCAATTTGATGAAAGATATTGCTTCTGATGGATAAAACTTAGAAATCGATATTCTGATTTTTCTTACTGTGATTACATCTGAAGAGTTTGGAATCCTGTAACTTCCAAAGTGAGATATTTAACCTTTTTCATAAATTGTAATCAATGTCTCCTCTTCTCCCCAAATTTCCTTAATAAACTTGTTTCTTCTGCAGTCTTTCCCATCTCAATAAATGGCAGCTCTATATTTCCAGTTGCTAAGGCTGATACCCACATTTACCCCACGTCTGTTCCTTTATCACAGCTTGTTGGCTCTACCTTCAAAATGTCCAGGTTTTGATTGTTTGTCCTTAGGGTCACTGCTACCCCCCCTATACTAAGCCATCCTTATTTCTCCCTTGGAATACTAAAGGATCTTCTAACTAACCTTTTTGCTTCTGTCATTGCCCACTTACGGACCATTCTCCACATTGCAGCCACTGTGATCTAATACTTAATAAAGCTGATCATGTCCTTTCTCTGCTCTGAAACCTTCATGGCTTCTCATCTCACCCAAATTAAAAGCCAAGTAAGTCCTTAAAATGGTTTGCAAGGCACTCCATTCTCTCTTATCCCCTCTCCCCATCTTTTCCCTGACTCTCTCTCCTCAGTCATTGTGCCTTATCTCTATGTCTGGAACACTCTTCCCTCAGTTTTCTTTTTTATATCATTCAGATCCGTGTGCAAATATCACCTTATCAGAGAAGACCTTTCCAGACAATGCAGACATCCCTGTCAACTTTCCCAAATTCTGTTTTGTTTTTCTCCATAGCACTTTTTACATCTGACAAACTATATATTTATTTGTTTATTTGCCTAGACTGTTTTAATGGTCTCCTAAGTGGTCTTCTAGCCTCTACCCTTGCTCTTCTCCCTAATGAGTTTTTGTTTCAGCAGGTAATGTTTTTAAAAATGTAAATCAAATCATTTCCCGACCTCAATTCTCAGTCTCCTTCCAATGTAAATCTTCTGGCTTCTCCAATTTTTCCATCTATTTACTTACACCAAACTTCTAACTTAATAAGGTTCAGGTGAATGTGTGAGTCTGTGTTGGGGAGGGCGTTTCTTGGCTGTCGGAGTGGTGAGTGGAGGGAAATGTTTTGTGATTCATTCACAGTGTCTCTGACTGGAATGCTCTTCTATCTGCAAAGCTTTGTCAAAAAAAAAAAAGAAAAACTTGAAAATAAGGGAAAGGGTGAGCTGTGTTCTTTCAGTGTCTTATGGGGATATTGTTTAATAGACTTTGGATTATTTAGGAGAATGTACTTTATTTGACTTGCTGTTTACTGTTGATTGTAAGTCTCCGATATATTGACATTACATGTTAATTAATTTTTTCCCAGAAGAACGTTAAGTCATTTCTATTAGAAAAGATAACTTCAAAAATACTCTTTATTGACCTGTAGGACATTGGCCAGTTTTGTCTCCAACCTAGCACTCTTTCTTAGTCTAACATACCATTACTTAAATTTTATATATATATATATATATAAAATAAATACATACCTTCAAATGCTCTTTGAATCAGTCTTAACATAAGTTATTCATTTATTAATGAGTAGAATAAATCTTTGGCATATGTTCAATTTATATGAGTCCCATTTTAACTTTTTGAATATTATACTTTTAATAACTCTCACTGAACCCTAGCTTCCTTCAAATACCTGCTCAAATGCTACCTTCTTGTGGATCCTTTCCTTGATAATGCAATAGAAAATAAGACACTGTAAATGCTTAGCATTTCCTAGCTACCTTTCCTTGCTTTTTTCCTCCTCCTCATAGCATTTTTTTTCACCTGTTATTTTGTTTTAATTTGGTTATGCTTTGTTTTCTCCCACCAGAATGTAATTTTTTATGAAGTTAGGAATTTTCTTTCCCAGTGCCTAGAGTCATATCTGGCACATAGTATGAGCCCACTTAATATTCTTGAATGAATGAATGAATTCACTAATACAATGCAGCCTGTTCCCCAAGGGCTAATTATGTTGTGTACAGCCACACTTACCAGCCCCATATTTGGAATTATAGTGTTTATCGGAAGATGCAATAGTGAATAATGAGAGAACTTTATATATTTTTTTCTGCCTATAATGAGTGACTTATTCTGGGCCTTTTAGTGAGACATACACCTTTGCAAATTCAGTTTCAGTTTCTCAGTCTATTAATGAGAACAGTAACATACTTGAGATACCATCTAAGACCTCATGTACACTTTCAGCTTTTCACAATAAAGACCAATATAAATCCCCAGTGGCATTATCATGGTTGTTGTACTGCTTTTACTGTTAACAGTGATAATATAAGAGTAACAAGTTGAGTCTTCAAAACTCATATTCAGTTTAAAAAGACTTTATAGGAAGCAGTACTTCCAAAGAAAACTTTTTTCAGGTGATTTTACTTCCATACCAAGATGGGTCTCTCTCCTCTTTATACCACATGAATAAAAGGGTAAACTGACTTATGGAGTATCTTACCACCTTGGCCAGATAACTGATAGGAAAAAGTACTGGGAGGTCTCATAGCCACACTGAACTAAAAGGCAAGCATGCTATTTAGCAGAGCTTTTTGTTGTTCTTGTTGTTACAGCTCTATAGGTACTTGTGGTTCTGTACATTATTTCTTCAGTCTGTTTTCTTCCTGCTGTTCAGTTTGAATAATTTTTATTGTTCTATCTTGTAGTTTACCAATTCTGCTTTTGAGTCAGTTCGCTATTAGTTTTGTATTTTTCAGTTTTAAAATTTCTATTTGGTTCTTTTTTTTCCCTTTAAGGTTTTATTTATTTTTGCAAGAGAGAGAGAGAGAGGGAGAAAGAGTGAGTGGGACCAGGGGGGAGGGACAGAGGGAGAAGCAGGCTCCTCACTGAGCAGGGAGCTGAATGTGGGACTCAATCCCAGGACCCTGGGATCATGACCTGAGCTGAAGGCAGGCGCTTAACCAACTGAGCCACCCAGGCACCCTCTGTTTGGTTCTTTATATCTTCTGTTTCTTTGCTGAAACTTTCTTTTTTCCCTCATGTTTCAATCATGTTCATAATTACTTATTTAAGCAATTTTATGATGGTTGCCTTAAAATCCTTGTCAAATAATCTTAACATTGGTGTCAGCTTATTGCTCTTTGTTCATGGTCTTTTCTTATTCAAGTTGAGGTTTTCCTGATTCTTGGTGTGATGAGTGGTTTTAATTATATCCTATGCATTTTGGATATTTCATATGACTCCTTGGATCTTAATTAAATCTGGTATTTTAACGGGTTTCTTGACACTGCACAGTTAGGGGAAGGTAGATGCCACTTTGTTATTGTCAGGTGCAGGTTTCCTACTTAGCTGCCTTTGACATTCTGGGTCAAAAAGGTGCCTTTTAATCCTGGGAAAAAGTGGGATTTCAATCCCCCCATCAGCCTTGGTTGATACCACCCTGCTTGATAGGAGGAGCATGGGGTGGGAAGCCTTGTTACCTCTAAACGTTTATAAAAGTTCTGACTCCCCACTCAGCTTTTGCTGACATAGGAAAGAAGGGAGAGAGAGCCTCCTTATGTCTGGATGGGGATTCAGGTTCAAAAAATGCCTCCCAACTTGGTTTTCCCTGCTATCACCTAGAGGGCAGGGGGAGTGGGATGGGAAACCTCCCCACAGCTGGTCAAGGTGGAAGTCTGGGCTTAGCACTTTGGCCTTGGCTCACAGAGATGGTTGTGGGGTCATATTTTTTTCCCATGGGTTCGGCTGTCTTCAGGCCATTTATTACCTACAAGTTTTTTGTTCTGCTGAGTTGCCCCTACCATGGTCCTTTGGCTAGAGAGGAAGGGCTTTTCTTGGGGTTGTTGTTTGTGCCCACTGGTATTTCCTGGTTGCTGGTCATTTCATCACCAGCTTGGGATGTATGAGGCTAAAAGAAAACTCACAGAACGGAATGATGCATCATTCTCTTTTGTCCCAGGTCCCTCCCTAGATCTCTCTTCTTGCCACCTTCTAGAATCATCTTACATTTGTTTTAAATACAGTGTCTAGGTGTTTTAGCTGTACTTATTGAGAAAATAGGGAGATCTGCATCTACTTCATCTTAGTCTAGAAGTGTACTAGAAAGGAACATTCTAAATTTTAAATATTCTTTGTTGTAGCTACAGCAGGAAACTAAATTCAGTCTTAAAATACATTAACTTAAAGCAGATATTTTGAGTAAATTTTTTTAAGGAAATAGTTTACATAACCAGTTTTTGGAGTCCTTATAAATAGAGAAAGGGCAAGTAAAAATATGGATAACTCAAACTGGGAAATAACTCATAAGTCTCTCTTTTTGCTTTATACTTACCAAGTTTGTGCATGTATAGGTGTATGTGTTAGACTTTCTGGAAATGTATTTTTGATAAAAATATTTAAATTATATTGTACAGACCAGATTCATTAAGAATTTAGAAAATCTTGAGCTTCACTGTTTGGCCTCCTTTTTTTGTGATCCACTTCTTTCTGGGGATATAGCCTTTTTTTCAAACTGATACAAAGCTAGTTCAATCTGATAATTTTTTAGGAATAAGAGATGTTATTTTTTTTTAAAGATTTTATTTATTCATCAGAGAGAGAGAGCGAGTGAGCACAAGCAGGGGGAGCTGCAGGCAGAGGGAGAAGCAGGCTCCCTGCTGAGCAAGGAGCCCGATGCGGGACTCAATGCCAGGACTCTGGGATCATGACCTGAGCCGAAAGCAGACGCTTAACTGAGCCACCCAGGTGTCCCAGGAATAAGAGATGTTATTGAATTTGTGTCAAAAGAGGCCTACTGTATGCTAA